ACTTCCGCTTTACACTCCTACTTTCTTCGCTACGTAAGTCGCAAAAAAGCAACGTTCGACACGATGCTTACGGCGCGTTCGCGCGATATATCGCCGAGCAAAAGAGACTAAAGCGAGACGTCCGGCCAGCCATTCGGTAAACATGACGAAGACTCATAGATCAGTCGCTGATCCGCGCTGCCGAGCTGGTTCTTACCTCCGGCAGAACGGACCGCAACGTTTAAGTACGACGACCGGCGAGCATGGATTGCGTTGGCCGAGTCGATTGTGTGTAAGTGCCTCGGAAGGAACGGAGGAGGACCGTGGGGGCAAGGGAAGAGATGCCTGAAGGAGGATGAGAGAAGGGAAGGCAGTCCGAGCGATGGAGTGAGAGACTCGAGGGTTGCGGGAGAGGCTGGAAGGAGCTAACCGCATCGTAATCAACGTAAAATGGCGTCGGGAACAGGGAACGGAGAACGGAGGAGCCTCCTGAGGTCGTGCCGCCATTGTTGATCACCCTCACCCTCGTATAATACGTGCTATACGGTTCGCCCAGGGATGCACCCTCTGCGGGCACGCCAAAGTTCCTTACATCGCTCGAGCTTTTATCTCTGCCTGAGAACGGGTGAGAAATATTTTACGACGGTGTAACAACGAGATTTCGGAATCTAATTGAAGACTTTGCGTTTTTAGCGCTCGTGGGGTGACTTACGTAAAACATCCCTAACAACGCACATATCCCGAAGATGTTTAAAGAACATCCTTAGGATGTCCTCTGAGTGTCTTTCAGATATGTTGTGCTATTAGGGACACGTAACATTATCAATTTTAATTTATACGCTATTTATGAATTTGTAACTATCCGGTCATCATTTATCTCCTACGTAAAACTTCTTTCGATATATATGTCTTAAGTTTTGCTCTTTATAGAGATCATGAAACGAGGTAGTCGCTGGATTTTCAAGTACTTCCTTTGGTTCCTCGAGACGAGGAGGATCTCCGGATCTTCTCTACAGTTTATTTGGTATTTTACGATAAATCCTGGGTTCGCGCTGGCGAGAGAAAGCGCGCATCTCCGTCCGAAGTTGGATTCGACCCTGCGGGATGCTCAGCAAGTCGTAATAAATTACGCAGAAGTGGAGCCGTGAGCGGAGATTACTGGCCCGGTTTCTCCCACCATCGCGTAGCAGCAGCCACCGGCTCCTATTTCACCACCAACCACTCCCCTTTTCACCACCGCCTGCATGATGGCTGTTTCACTTAAACCCCAGCCTCGGCTGGCTGCTACTGCTCCGCTGCAATTTTGACGGAAGCCCGCCAAATGCGACGCTAATGAAATCGGCTCGCGATTCACGCTCCGGATCCGACGACATGGAAACCGCTCTCTAAAGTAGAAGCACATTTCAATCATACCGTACGAGCTTGTTCGCGGCTTTCTATATGCTCCAGTAATATTCAACATCTTCCTCTGAAATTTGCGAATGGTGCAAATACGAATCGAATATCGATGGAACTGAATATAGATCACGATCTTATATACAGGTCAGGACACTCATTAAAATGAAGGGAATAAAAAATGTAACCAATATGGCGGCCAACTCAGGCCTGTCATATAATAATATATTTATTATAATATATTTAATTATTTTTAAATAATTTAATAAAAACTATTCTTAATATTTAAAATTTCATATATATAAAGGTTTTTTAACCGCGTTTATTTTTAACATTTTTTTCAATTGTCCACAAGATCTAACACAAAACTGTCAAAATAAAAAGAATCTGCGCTGATGCGTTGAATAAATCGGTCTGGAGTTGGAGCCATATTAGTTACATTTTGTTACACTTGACAGCATGTAGTCGATATAAAAGTGTCCTGACCTGTATATAAGACCGTGTTATAGATGCTTTCGATCACAATTTTAAATATAACATCACTTACAATTAGAGATATAAGTTTCATAATTATATCTTGAATAGCAGTAATTTAAGCACTTCTTATATATTTAGTCATTCATATTTAAATTTAATATTAAATATTGAAATTAAATATGTATTTTTTTAAATATATAATCAAGTATGTTTCTTTCAGAAGAAGATATGAAAATAGGTTCTTTGAGACATTTTCAAGTCCGTAGCTAATTAAGAAGCGTGATTTCGAATCCGTTCGCAGCGAACGTCGCCAACAAAGTCGGAGTAATTCGGATTGTCTGCGCACGACGGATCACATAAAAATTCAGGAAAGTACCTTCTGAACGGTTCATTTCATTCGGGCTGATCGTGTTCGACTCAGCCTCGAGGGCAACATACATTATGGTGTGCTGACTGCCTACTATCTTCCTCGATAACGCAATTTAATCCCGAGAATGATATAAGAAATGCTTTTGTACTCGCGTCGTTTCCAGAATATATATATTCCTCTTTCTCTTCGAAATTGCACGAACTGCGCGAGTGAGATTTAAACGCGTTTTCTAATTTCCGAGACTGCAGTACTTTGTTGCAGGATGCTCGCTAAAGCTTGAAAGATTATGAGACAGAATAATCTAGTTGGATAAAATCCTTTTCATAATACGACTTTAGATTAGTACGTAGAATTTTTATATGGAAAAGAAAAAAGCAACATTCTTGTTTCATAAATTCGAAACTTAACTTATATTTAAAATTATATATATATATATATATATATATATATATATATATTCCCCACACACTTCCTTTAGTATCATTTTGTGCATTAATTTAAAAAATGTGTTGAAATTATCGAGATTTAAATCTGCATAATATAATTATTGTTTATTATAATTTTGTATAACTGATCTTTTTTAATGGCATATAATAAAATGCAACTGTTATCACGCAATAACAAAGAGATTATCCACATGAAAGAATCAATGCTTCAAATCTTCTGCTTTATCGATTGAACAAAAAATAATATATTCAGTATCTATATTTATGTAAAATATCTCTTAATATTGTCCTAAAATGAATTATTAATGATAGTATTATTGATTATAATTATTAATAAAAGTAGAGCTAAAGGTAATTGCCTGTAATGCCATGCATTTTACTGACTGACGGTATTAATGCTGGTTAGTCGATACTATAACTTCTGTTGAGATATAAAAACAGAACAGTTGTAGCTCATACAAATGTTTATTCTTTTAAAAATTATTTTTTTAAATATTGTAAAACACATAATATATTTTCGTAACAAACGATTGTTTTAAAAAAAGCAAGATATGAAGATTTTCTAAGCATGAATTAAAATGTACAAGAAGTATAGATAAAAATTAAAATATATTTTTATAGAACTTTTTGGTAGAATGAAAAGAAGTTTATAGATAAGATTAGAAATATTAATTATTAAATATAATATATATATATATAATCAAATTAAATATATCAATATTTCAAACTCAAAAATATTTTAACAAAAGTCTTTTAAACTAAAAGCAAGTTTACTATTATATTATATCTCATATATTTGACAAGATTTATAATTAAACAAGTATCTAAGAGCAAATTTGTTAAACCTGGGAATACTTGCAACAATATTTTTGTAATTTTTAAATTTTTTGCGCGAAAATAAGAGTTAACGTTCCGCTTTATTATTATTAATCAAATTTCGTGCCACGTTTAACACGGATGTGTTCAAATAACCCGCCACGTATAATTTTAGTCACTATGGCGAATAATACACCCACAACAGCGACTCATCCGACGGCGTTCCGTACCCTGGTGAGATGTACATACAGATCGATAAGTGATGGACCGTAGTCCGGACGGAGCGTACAACGAGAAAAAACATCACGTGTTGATAAGGTTAATCAACGGCGATAACGTGTCTCGTGTCATTCAGTGAATCGTCGCGAACAGCCGCAAACCGAGGTACGTTTCTAAAAATCTTCAAAAATTCTCTCCGCATTCCGAAACGCTTTATTTAATTCCATCGCCACGTCGTAGTGTTTTTGACGCACGAACAGCTGACGCGGCACGACCGGCGTAGTTATAGTCCACAGTTACACGCGAATGCCTCTATACGCGCGCGCTTGCTCGTATCACACATGCGCGGTTCTATTATGAATTGTGTATTGCGAGATAAGGTGCGTGCAATGTGTCTAATACAGATTATGATACCCGAACAATGCTCCAGAAATTATAATTGCAAATAATACTATCGCAATTATTCTCAGTAATTATCAGACGCGCGCTTCTTATCGTCAGACACTTGTTTACTTGCATATGAATGAAGTAATATTATACTTGCTGTAAATTAAATTAAAAAAAAAAAATATATATATATATATATATAATGTATATAAAATTTATATTTTTTAAAAACATTTAATAATATTTAATTTTTTCCAAATTTTCTTTATTTAAACTGCACAAATTATATAGAGATTTAATAATTTTTATACAATGTAAAAATGTAACAATATGTAACATTGATTTTTAATATGTACTAACAATAAGAGAGTATTAGGTTAATGTTATAAAACTTATATTTTTTTAAATCTCTCTCGTTTGTCTCATACTTCTATATAAAATTTTATTTTTCTTTGTCATAACTGATTTCTCATAAAAACCCTTTCTTAATGTCATGAAAGTTTACAATTCACAAAACTTTAATAGAATTTTTAAACGAAAAGAATTTTAAAAAGGTAAAGAGGGTCTCTTTGACTTTTACTGATTACTTGAATTTTTTATAATTAAGTGAAAGAGATACCGCGTCTTCGTTTGTTCTGGCGCGTTTAATTTTTTCTTTCAAGAGAGTAAAGAAAAAATGCCAAATAATTATCATTTTAATCAAAAGAATAATCTCAACTTTCTCTTGCGCATAAAAAATATGATAAATAGTGTGGAATTAGCAACAGATGTTCTATCGAGTTACGTAACAAGTTTCACGAGATGGAAATAAAACCAACTTGTATCGTTCGACTGGATCGATGCACAATGTAAATATAAATGTAAGTTATGCATGTAGGTATGTTTACAAAAATCTTATGTAAATCTTTAATTGTTGGTAATCAATATGACAGGCAATTATTCATTATTAATGAATTATCGAGCGATCGATTTCCTTTATGCACCGTATACAATATGCACTATGACAAATATTATGTAATTCGACCATACGTGACATTTACTAACATTAAAAATTACTGTGAAATTACTGCGTGTACTAAAATATTAACATTCGATCGTGTTAATAATTATCATCGTGATCAATTTATATCATTTCCGTTTAAGTACGTGTGTGTAAGAAATTTATATATCTTATCGTTTGAGATGAGGAAATAAGAGATTTATAAACTCGATATAATATAAATAAGATTCCATTTGTCGCACAATAAGTAAGCTTTCATTACGTCTGCAGTATCTCGAGCGAAAGCACATAAGCAAACATCTTTAAATTAATTGTTCTAAGAAAAAATCGAATAATTCGTAAAGGTAAAATATCACTTAATAATAATGTGTCGTTGATTACCTGATAACAAAATTTTGATATATAATTATATATAAATAATTATATAATTATATAATCGTAAAATTATGTCTATTTTTATACATAATTATATAAATATATTTATAAACTATAAAGGTTCATATATAATAATATATATAGCACTATCTAATTATGTATAGACATATTTCATATATAATTTTGCGATTATATATGTACAATTTTATATATTTCAATTTAATTTTATGTTGTTATATATATACAATTTTTTGCCGAGTATGTTCAATTTCCAGTGTAGACATAATGCAAATGTTTATATTCTATATATATGTGCGCACGTGTGTGCGGGCGCGCGCGTGTGCAAACGCGCGTGTGTGCGGGCGCACGTGTGTGCACGTGTGTGCAACGCGCGTGTGTGCGGGCGCGCCTGTGTGCGGGCGCGCGTGTGTGCAAGCGCACGTGTGTGCAAACGCGCGTGTGTGCGGGCGCACGTGTGTGCAAACGCTCGTGTGTGCGGGCGCACGTGTGTGCAAGCGCACGTGTGTGTGGGCGCCGTGTGTGCAAACGCGCGTGTGTGCGGGCGCGCGTGTGTGCAAGCGCGCGTGTGTGCAAGCGCACGTGTGCAAGCGGTGTGTGCAAGCGCACGTGTGTGCAAGCGCACGTGTGTGCAAGCGCGCGTGTGTGCGGGCGCACGTGTGTGCAAGCGCACGTGTGTGTGGGCGCCCGTGTGTGCAAACGCGCGTGTGTGCGGGCGCACGTGTGTGCGGGCGCGCGTGTGTGCGGGCGCGCGTGTGTGCGAGCGCGTGTGTGTGCAAAACGCGCGTGTGTGCGAGCGCACGTGTGTGCAAACGCGCGTGTGTGCGGGCGCACGTGTGTGCAAACGCACGTGTGTGTGGGCGCGCGTGTGTGCGGGCGCGCGTGTGTGCGCGCGCGCGTGTGTGCGAGCGCGCTTGTGTGCGCGCGCGCGTATTTGTGAACGTAATTGCACCGTTATATGCATTAATAGTTTCGTAAATTGTATTCGGTTCATGATGCGGTATTAAATTTGTCAGTAATTTAACGATAAAGCAGATTTGTTGTGCGATTCACGTAACAAGCCGGCTGCATGTACATATTAAACGTCATTTCCATCAAATACCAATCCTAGAATTATAGAGGGTGAGTTAATACCTTGCGGCTTCAATGGGCATTTGAATTAAAGCACCGCAGTGAGCCACTAAAGATAGCTCTTACCAGGTAATGAAATTTGAGAGAATTTTATTATGCATTATATATTATTTATTGTTATGAGCTTGCTTTTTATCTTGTAATGCGGTTTGACAGTTCCACAAAGAAAGTTAGTTGTTAATTATTTTATTAAGGAGATGTAGCTTTTATCTTAATAAAACTTATGGGAAAAATTTCAACAATTACCAACTACAGTTCCGTGTTATTTAAATTAAATTTTAAATGTTTTAAAAATATAAAGATAATTTAAAAGTTAAATACTATTAAATGTTTAAATAAATAGTTATGCGTTTCGTATACTATATATAAATATACACTATGTATAGTGTATATACATATATGTATACATAAATATACATAAATATTTATATATATATATATATATATATATATATATATATATATATTATTATATATATATATATATATATATATATATATAATATATTATATATATTATATGTATATATATATACATTTTATATATATATATATTATATATATACATATATAAATTATGTTTATTTGTTACTATATATAGTTTTAATATCTATGTATATCTTCTGTGCGTTTCTTAGTACATAATCTCAGTCGCATCAAATATAAGAGGCTTAAATAGAGATTACGTAGCAGGATTGTTGCATGCATACTCCTACTCAAATGTATCTGTTGTGGCTATACCTGAAATAGTGCTGTAATTACCAACAAAATTGCCGTTAATGCTAAAGGAAAGCATTCAATCGTGCAACAAATTGTGCAACCGCATCGTGTAACAGTATAATTTCATTAGGCTAATCGCGCAGCATAAATGATGATGAAACTTCTAGAATTTACAGTTGATCTCTCTCGCAAATAATGCGAATTAATTTTGGCAAAACGTCCTACACACGGTTTTAAGAGGTTTTCTTACGCCTTTGTGCAGTTTGACTGTTAGGAATGTCCCGTCAAGCTAACGAGGCTTATGTCGTCGAAGCGGATGACCTTGTGCCCATCTTGACACCTACCGCCGATATTTTACCACGATTAAAGACCTTGGCTGCCCATTTCAACTCCAAATACAATGTAGAACCTTCCTTCTTCGCTCGAGTGCCAGGAAGGTGAGTTATTTTGTTTACACACAACGAGATTATTTTACTTCAGTCTCAATTGTTTGCTTTTTATTACAACGGAATTTATTTAGATTGTAAATTCGACACAATCGAAAATCGAATCTGATCTTGTTGACAATCAGGGAATCGCTCTATTATTAAGCATTCTAAATTATTTTTAATATAATATTGTACGTTGAAACACAAAATGCTTAATTCATATATGATTTCAGCATCGAATAAATAAATATAATATAATATATATAAAATTAATATAATAAAGTTCATAATTATCAGCTATATATCCTAATTTTTGAAACGCGTAATATATCATTATTTAAATACAGTGGAACGTTTTCTGCGGATTTTATAAACTATTTGACAATGACAGATACATGAATAACAGATTTTATAAACTATTTTGACAATGACAGATTTATGAATAATTGTGTATTGTGTGTTTGTTACAGAGTAAATCTGATAGGCGAGCACATCGATTATTGCGGATATGCTGTCTGTCCAATGGCTATTGAACAAGATATCCTTGTTGCAGTGGCATTGTCGAAATATAACGACATTTATCTGACTAATGTCGATCCCAAATACAAGGATTTCCGATGCAGTTTAGAAAGCGTAGGGTAAGCATTATGTCATTTTTAATGAGAATTTAAGATTTTGTTAAGCGAACAGCAACGTTAGAGTTAATTATTTTAAACGAGAATAACCCAGTAAAAATAATTGCTACACAACATTATTATAATAATTTTCACTAACATTATAATGTTGTCAAGTATGTATAATAGTTTTTAACATTGTATGCAACATCATTATGAACAAACTTTGACATCGATTTAGAAGTTTCGGTAATGTTGAATAACGTTTTTAAAATATTTTATTAATATTTTGAGAGCAATATGTTATTAAACAATATTTTTAAAACATATTTATAAAACGTCAGTTAAAATATTTTTTTAATTTTTATTAACACGTTTATTAAAATATTTTAAACATGTTTATAAAACATGATAACGTTTAGAAAATTTATATAAAATCAACTTTTTAAAATGTTGCTTAAATATTTCTTGCTCACTGGGAAGTTAGTTAACGATAAGATAAGTTGGTTAGTAATAATTTATTCGAGAATTGATTAATTAATTTCTTAACAGCTTGTAACACGCGACACATAATTTTTTTGCTTCACTAAAACCTTTTATGATAAATATACATACTTAATATAGCGCAGTGTACTGCACGTGGCATATAATATCTCCTCTATAGCATACTGTCGTGCTTGCAGTTTGCAATCTCCAAGCACTTATAAGCACTTATAGCCCCTTAACAATTTAAGCCTCTTGATCTCCCACGCGGCCATCTTGGATTATGACACCGAAGCCAGAATTATGCGCGCTTTATCCCTATCACACAGCTCACGTGCGCGTTCGTGATTGAGATAACATCCCTACGGCTCCTCTCATTTCGCGTAATTAAATCAAATAAAAATTTAAATGCTTATTTCACGGTGCAAAAAGAAAGATGGATGCGGCCAACACGGAATGCACGCGATCTGTAATAATGTAAGAAAAGCAGATGACATTGTGCTCTCTCGCTCTCTCTCTCTCTCTTTTCTCTTTCTCGTCTCGTAACCCTGTGCTGTTCGTTTGTATTAAATTACCTCCTCCGCGCTTTTTTGCCCACGATATAATACCCGAGAAGATAATACAAACTTTCTTAATCCCATTCATTATTTAATGTCGCGTAACCACGTCAGATAGCAAATATACCTTATTGTTGGTGGGCGAAATTTAAACAAATATATATATATATATATATATATATATATATGTATATTTCGTTATCAATTTTCCGATTTTTAATACCGCACGCGTATTATATATTACTTATGCGTAAATTTTGTATGTCATACAAAAAAAAAGAGGAAAAAGAATAGAAAGCCAAAGAGAGAGAGAGAGAGAGATGGAATTGTATGAAATCCGATTAAATCTGATAACGTTATCGTGCTCTCTTTCTCAATTCCGGCTGCATTCTATAAATATTTAAGCCGCGTAACACGCAGTCGCGCATATTACAGATCTTGTATTAATGATAACGAGAGCGGGCCGGCCTGGTACAAATATTTTCTGTGCGGAGTAAAAGGAGCACTGGAAGTAATCCCGGCAGACTCAGTTCCCATGGGAATTCTGGTTGCGATATGGGGCAACATCCCTCCTAATTCTGGCCTCTCGAGTTCCAGTGCGCTCGTCTCGGCCGCGCTTCTTTCAATTGTGCAAGCCAGTCAGGTATTTATCTTACGCAGAATGTTAAATATCATCAAACTTTGCACTTTGTTATTTGACAATATTAGTTATTTATTAATTGTATTTAAAAAATAAGACTAATAATTAAGGGGAAGTAAACTATTTCCGCTTGGATATATTGCAAAATGAAAGTTTTAATTTTTGGAATTGTTCTTTACGAAATTTCCTCTAGTACGAGTCCTCAATCAGACTTTTATGGACTTGTACGAATGGATGAAGTGACGTATTTGTTGTCGACTCGAAAAGTATGTGTATTGTGTTTCAAAATGGATCGAGAACTACCGATTACTATCCTATAAAGCATTCTTCTATTACTTCGTTGGCGTCTTGAAATATAGATCTTATTTCTTTGGCAGTTTCGTATTTGCTCGAATGGATATCGAACGCGACATTAGTCACCGCAGATCTTTTGAGATACTTCTTTATACTTCGTCTTAGTGCGCCATTATCTTGTTCTTCTCAACTTCTTGCTATGTTCATATTTCTCGGTTCAAGAGTTTTCATCTTCAAGTTTGTTTCGTAAGAAAAAGAGAAAGTTACCTTTAATCTTAACTCAGATTCTAGATATTATTAGCCATGTTTTATCGACATAAATCAGAATCACGCGCCGATATCATCATTCCATTCCGTATTTGTATTGGTATTGTAGCGTCAGTTATCGAAGCATGAATTGGCGACTATCAGTGCTCGAGCAGAGCGACATATCGGAACTCAAGGTGGAGGAATGGATCAAGCTATCGCTTTTCTTGGAAAACCTGGTGATTACAATCTTATTATTTATTATTGGATGTTTTATGTAAATTGAATTATTAGCTACTAATTAAAAATAATTTTTCAAATTTTTAATTATATACAATATATATTATATAATGTACATAATATTATGTAATAATATTTTTTATATATTATTTCACACTCGAGAATTTTAAATTTTATATTTTATTTTGCGACTAAATTGCTATGAATGACTTCGAATAGATTTAATTTTATTATATTATATATATAACTAAAAATATTATATATATATTATAATATAAGTAAAATTATATAATATAATGTATAATAAATTATAATATATATAATATTATTTTATATTAATATTTATATATTATATAATATATAATATAATAAAATTAAATCTATTTAAAGTAATTCATATCAATTGTTTAGTCGCAAAATGAAATATAAAATTAAAACTTCTAGAATAATGATATAAAAACTTCGAAATCTTATTTTTTATTTCCTTATAAAGGTTCTGCTAAGTTGATAAACTTTAACCCTTTACGTGCCATCGATGTAACATTGCCAGAGAACGCAGTCTTTGTAATAGCGCATAGCCAGGCTTATCACAACAAAGCCTCGACTACCGACTTCAATCTCAGAGTTGCAGAATGTCGATTAGCTGCACAGGTATTGTTACGTCCTATTCGAAGAATTTCTTTTTATTACGAAGACACGAGAAGAATACGAGCTAGAAGAATACCAAGACGTAGATGATTAAAGGGAATCGAATCCGGGTGTATCAATTATCAGACAACTGCTTTTACCACTAATTGTATAAGCCACCTCGGGCTTTCTCTTGATACGCTTCTGCTCGTTACGTATCTCTAACACTTGCTTACTTCATTTGTAAATATATTATTACTCGCGAATATCGATTTCAAATAAAACATAATTGTTAAACGGCTCAATTCGATTCACCCTTTCAAATAACGTTGAACTCTTTAAAGATCTGTAAATATTTGTGAATATTTAACTAATTTTTAGTTTGAGCAACGCTGAACCTTTTAAAGATTTGTAAATATATTCACGAAAAGAGACTCTCCGAGGAGAGGAACAAGACTGGTTTTTCAATTACGCTTCATCTTTCGTCGATTGACATTGATCGATGCACCTTGCATTTATATTCAGAATATTTTCTAACTCTTTTTCTCTTACGCCTTTCTTCCTTTGATTTTCCCTTCGCTTTCTGAAAACATTCTTCTTTATTAAAAAACAGAGATATAAATTTTACGAAAGCGTATACGCAATTATTTTTCTTTCGCGATATTACTATATAGGTCATTTCCCAAAGAAATAAGTAATGAAACCTCTTTTTTTTTAATTTAGATGATAGCTAAGAAGAGAAATATGGATTGGGAACATGTTCAAAGATTAATTGACATTCAAGAAAAGCTCGCCTTTGACTTGGATGAGATGGTTACTGTAGTAATGACAGACCTGCACGAGCAGCCATATACTCTTGATGAGGTATACATTGTTGCGCTATAAAAGGGAAGTGAGATTTCTCTTTTGCACAATATCCTGACATGGATCCTCCTAGAAATTATTAAAAAAGCACGTCGGGACAAAATAAACTTTATAAACTTTGCTATAAAAAATGATAAAAAGCTATTCATATATTTCAGATGTATATACTTCTCAAGCTAACTCACAATCAGTCATATTAACTTGCTATTAAACGAATTTCTCATTGTTAAAGAAATTATATATTATCATTAATTATTATAAATTATTAATTATTATTAAAAAAAATAATAAACAGCTATACACGCATTTCGAGTATTGTAATTATTAATCTGTTCGATTGTGTCAAATAATTTACTATCAAACGAAATTCTCGTCTGCGATGGAATTAAAGGTCTATATATATATATTTTATCGACAAAATAAATGCTTCTCCTCCGCAGATCTGCGAGAGCTTTGGTACAGACCATGAACGATTGAAGAAAACGTCTCTCATCAGTTCCTTTAATACCTCGCAAACGTTCAAGCTGCAGCAACGGGCTTTGCACGTTTTTCAAGGTAAAAACATCAATTTTCATGCGCTGGTAAATCGTAAAACGCAGTTTTAAATCCGATAAATCAAGAGAGCTTACCCTCTCGTTCTCCAACCTAATGCATTAACTTAATTGTTTCGCGCAAGCAAAGATCTCGGTTGAACTTTACGAACTTTATGCTCATTAAAAAAGAAACATTCAAAAGTGTACTATTATAAAAGTTAGAGACGCGCGCGCCTGTTCTCTTCCCATTTATTCTTCTAATTATAAAATTATGTAATCGTTTTTTTGTCCTATCTCCTAATGTTATCATCGCTAGCAAAAGGAAGCATCAAAAGTTGCAAATCGAATTATCGTTCTACGAAGTAGAAATTACCGCGTATTAGTCCGGCTTTGTGCGCGTAAAAATATAGCGGTGAACAATCATATATGTGCATTGTTCTATAAAGCTATTTCGATGGACATATTATCCTCTTAAATAATTTCGAAGCCAATTTGAGCTCGCATTTTCAAATTAAATGTTGTAGAAAAGAGAGAGAGAGAGAGAGAGAGAGAGAGAGAAAGAAATTAATTGTACAAGAGCAAAAATTGACGTTTGAAATATAAAATTTTAAATGTTCTCCTCTTTATAAGTGTTATAATTACTAACTTTATACTTTATAATTATTTATCTGTATTTCCAATGCAACGATAAATTATACGATGAAACGTCACATATTAAATAATATTAAATCGATTAGCGCCTGATTAAGCATTCCGCTCTTGGCTGTCACGTTACGTCATCGTCAGATTAAAAAGCGTCTTTATTATATTATGACATCCAGTAAACTCGTCCCGATCAACTTGATTTTACAGAGGCCAGCCGAGTGCTCGCGTTTCGCCGTATAAACGAGGAAAGCGGCATAACAGAGCTCGAGAAGCTTCAACATCTGGGCAGTTTGATGTCGAAGAGCCACGCCAGTCTTCATCAATTGTACGAATGCAGCCATCCCAGCGTGGACTCGCTCGTCGAAAGAGCCATGCGTTGCGGCGCATACGGCGCCAGACTCACCGGAGCTGGGTAAGTATATAGTATATATTTAATACCTCCGAAAGCGCGAGATAAATATAGAGATGCAGATGGATCGGGAGCTTCCACCCGCTTATCTCTAATATCGACGAGTACGCCACATATATATTATATAGCGCGATATGATTAATATATGCCCTATTAAAGCAGTAATAATCCGCGCATGTAGTACGGAAAATGTGAACTCCCTTTAAATGAAATTCTCTATTCGACTCTCTCTCTGTTCCATCGAATGCGAAATACTTCTTACAATGAAAATTTATTACACGATAGCTGTATTTAAATTTTCTATTGAAAAATTATTTTACAACTAATTTTATTATGTTAAAAATAAACATATAAATTAATTCCATTGAACAAAATTATTTTATAATATATATTATATTAATATAAAAAGAAAAATTATTTTTTAACTAATTTTATTATGTTAAAAATAAATATATAAATTAATTCTATTGAAAAAACAATTATTTTATAATATATATTATATTAATTTTTGTTCTCTTCGTCGTTCCGTAATAAAAGTAAAACAAATTTCTATTCACGTGTTGCACACAGCTGGGGCGGTTGCATCGTGGCAATCATTGATAAAAACGAAGTTCAACAATTCGTGGACACTCTCCGAACATATCTCTATCAGAACAGCACAAAGGACCGGACGGAGCTAAAGGATATGGTGTTTCCGACGGCACCGAACCAGGGTGCTGTTATTTACACTGTGTCAACACCGTTTTGAATCGTAAAGCCCGCGGTATATAATAAATATTGCGGCTCTCCTTGGCTCGCGTCGTCCCTCTATTGACATTCCATTATTTTCTCCTCGCCTCACTTTACTTTACGTGTCTGTTTCTCTGACCTGCTTTTTTTTGTTTTTCACCACGAATTCTAATTGACGAAAGAATACCACTTGTGCCATTTAACGTCATTGGCGTTCGAGTCTAAAATTCACTGCCGAACGAATCGCAATTATTTCCAAACGTTGCTTCTTGCCATTTAATTATATTTTATACATTATAAATTCTTTTTCATCATGATATCAATTAAATGTAGTGTCTTATAATAGCATATTATACATTCTCGAAGACTGACACTAATCCTTCAACAATTTTGTCAAAAATCAACATATATTGATCTTTTTTTCTTACAGTTATTGCATGTGAAAATATAATTTTAATATATGTGGAAAGAGTTATATAATTTGCTATTATATAAATATAAGAAGTCTATTATTAGCCTAATAGAAATAAGCAATATTTAATAATTAATATAAAGAATTATTCATATATGATAATTATATATTGTAACAGTTTTTGACATATTGTGACAGTGTTTGTAGCAGTTACATGAGATAATTATGAATAAACAATTTGCAGTGAAATATATCACTCTTAGCGAATATGTAATTGCAAATCGATAAAGAGGTAATAACCCAAGTTTAAAAAATTTTAAATGTATAAATAATTTATTAATTTTTCCTTTTTAATTATATGTTTTCCTGCGTCAAACTTTAAGATAAAAATCTCTAATAAACTTCTAATGAGATACGAGCAAAGTTAAGTTAATGAATAACGAGAGATAAAGTGGAATATATCGTAGCAAAATTTCACTCAAACTCTCATACTCCTATGTTAAATTGCCACCATTGCGTGTTGCATACTAAAGTGTAGAGTCTAATATAGTCATAAAATATATGTTCATAACTTACACGTGTTTACTTTATCATGTTGTACCTTGTATCTAATCATAATATGCAATGAGAGTATGATAAAGTAAAATGTTTCTTTTGCATAACTTTGCTAGCAATTATTATTCATAAAAATAAATTATCATTAAATGTGCATTATTTTGATATTTATATAACTGTGCAAAGAAAATACTACGAAAAATTTCTATTTGCGGAATGGGATGCTGCACTGTCCGAAAGTCCGACCGGATATTGATTTTCCACCGCCTGTCCGTGTCGATAAATTTTACTGCAAGTAATCATCGGTACCGCACCTTGAGAAGTCACTTTCGATTTCAATTACATCGATGTTATTGCATCGATAAAACGATCAACCCCGGATGAGGAACATATTCGATTGAATTGAAATCAAAATCCTAACTATAGAGGTATTGAATAAAACGTTGCGTCAACCAAAATATATATTGACGTAACAATTTTTCACTCGAAATCGCAATATTTATTTACATCCATTTATTTTACGAGATATTCGAATTACAAAATTATTATTTGAATTAAGTAAACTGATATATAAATCAATAAAAAATGTTAATTTTAAAAGTTTTCAATAATGGAGATTAATTTTTATCGGTTTTTAGTAAAATAGTTTTTCTGAATAGAGCTAATTAGGAACACTAATTTTTATGTTTTTCTCAAACATAGATATATTTAATATCATTATTAAATATATTGAATATATTTAGAAGATGCTTTTTTAGTCAAATCTCTTTATGCATTTTCTCAGAAGAAGCGGGTTTCTCTGAAAATTGCAAGACTAGTTAGCGAGCTTCCTAGACTTCATTTTCCTAATGTATCCTTTACGTAACACTGTTTTAATGAAATATGTGATACACAAGATCTCAGTTATGCACTCTTTTCCAGCGGAAAAATGTCTAATGAGGTTCGAAAAAATATAAAAAATATTTAATTATAAAAATATTACATTAAGCAGATGTTTTGCAACGTTTCAACCGATATTAAAGAGAAATGCCGACTTTTCAGTATCTATTAAATATCATAAATATTTAAATGCGAAAATTTTATTGCGCAATTTTAATTTAACGCAAATGCAATATTTAATATAAATAAATTATGCATATATATATATATATATATATATATATATCTACGACGAAGTAATATCTATTATGCCAGAAACTTCGCGTTTGTTTCGCATTCACGCTCACTACGTTCGTAATTTCGCGTCAGACATTAATACGCAGCTTTAATGACTGCTGTAGCGTGAATACTAGTTCTACTTAAGGTCAACCATGCAACGAGGGCACGCATGTAGTAGTGAAGGCGGTATAATGGCGCTACACGTACCGCATGCTTGCAAATTATACCCGGTATTACTATCGCGTAAGCAAAAGGAACGAAAAGGAAAACGGCGAAGATAGGGTTGTACTAAATCATAGTTGACTAAAAAGAGATATCGCAATTTTTTTTTATCTCAAGACATCTTATACATGGACTCTTGCTCGGGATAAACTGGGTTTGCGCGCACATAAATCAAAGTCAGGAGTCAAATTACAAAGTGGGTGTGTGTATAAAACTCTCTTTACAAACTTTTTCCGCACATTTTTAACAATTCCCTTTCCATTTTGTATTTTGTTTGCGCAGTTATATTAGCATCAGTTAAGCTTGACCGATCGTCCATCTCTTTTCCAGTTCTATCTTCGGAAAGAGAGCCAATCTCAATTAATTTGAATTAATATTTCACGCGCGCATGCAAGAGAGAGAGAGAATAATCGATAGGCAGATAAAATATTCGCGTAAATTATTTCGCACTTTCACGTTTATTCGCAGAGTTATTGCGCAGGGTTGAATTAAACTTGTCGGTTTATCTTGTTTGTCTCTGTAGATTGGACAAAGCGGTCAGGCAAGCGTGCATTTGACCATAGAGTAACTAAAATTAAAGCAGTTGCTCCGTCAGAGAATAGGATAAAGAGAAGTTTTGGTCCATATAAGAGAAGCATCGTGCTCTGGCGAAAAGAAACTTAACATTTATTTTTCTTGAATTTTATTCGAATATCGATCAGCGGGTATCTATTGCAATTGAGAAGGTTAAAGTTCATAATTTATATACGAATAAGAATAAAAAGAGAGTCGTATATAAAGTGGAATTCTATAAATTATGAATTTATTCCAATATGACTTTGAATTCATCATTGGTCTTTAATACATTTTTATACGCTATATGAATTTATCAATCTTCTTCTCCCTTCTATATTACCAAAATATATTTAGCATGAATATTATATTTAAAATAATTAATTAAACATATTTGTTTCAAATCTTTCAACAAAAAAGAATAAAGTCAGTTTGCTATTTATTTTTACACTAAAAAAAAACTATTAAATTAATAAATATATATATTTATTTCAATACTGCTTTATAAATCATTTACTTGAAACAAATAAATATTCATATCTGTTTTAAAATTGAAAAGGGTTTTCTTATATGAAATAAATATTTTTTACATCAAATCAATATTATTAGTTTCAAATAAATGATTTATTAGGCAATATATTGAAATAAATATTTATTCGAATTCAATAAATTTTTTTTCGGTATATTTGACGGTGCAATTATCGACGACTATTGAATGTCGGCAGCTGGTATCGACAAGAATCACGTCTGAATGTACGAGAGGGAAGTTCGACACTTCGATACGGCACCTTTAAACCACGCACCACGCGTTTTGTCCATTGTTCACACTTTGGGGAGAGAACGTGGGCGAGAGGAACTCGTTCTTTTTTTATGCTTTTCACCTGTAGATCAGATTTCTCGAAGTACGTGTTCGCCATTCACGATAGAACGTCGATTTTCCATTTTTCTATCCTAAAATTCTCGCTCTATTATTTCTAGCATAAATAGTGATGAATAAAATCAGTCTTTTTTTTCCTTTCAGTGGAAATACCATTCCATTGTGTTTTTTTTTTTTTTTGCAGATTTTATTGTGTTCGATAGAATGGAAGATATGAATATTTCATGCCAACCACCCGTTTCACCTAAACAGAGGCGAATTTTATTCCATTTTTCTCGATAACATGGTGGAAATGCGCGCTATCGTTTACATAGAATGATATACATATATATGTATACATGTACGTGTATTCTTTTAGAGCCATTGAAGCAAGAAACGAATGACAGCTTATCCCAAATCCTATTATAAAGAAAGAGAAATGGGAGGGACGAAAACCAGATCGAATCTATTTCCAGAATGTATCTTGCCTCGCCTATACACGTCCGATATATCCCTCAACATCGTTAAACGATAACACGCGGTCATTGATATCGCAGAGCGTGCTACTAAACACGTAGGCTGCTTTTAGATTATTATATTGAACCCTCGTTTTTGGGAGAAGACTATGCAGGGTGTCCCATTTTAAAAAACACACCTCGATAATTCTTCAACAAGGCATTTCAGCAAAAATGTTTCAGACAAAAGTTGTATGGTTTCGAGGAGGACATAAGATTGTGCCATTGATTTGATCTTGAAAAATCATTTGAAGGTCACGTGAAGGTCAACTTCAATTTCTTAAATAGAACCATCTATTTTTCATTGTATATTCTTGCAGCTTTTCAAAACCCTATATATAATAAAGTATTTTTTTTAAGAAATTGACCTTCGCGTGACCTTCAAATAACTTTTCAAGGTCAAATCAATGGCACCATCTTATGTCTCCCTCGAAACCATAAAAATTTTCTTTGAAACTTTTCTCAACTCTAAAACATTTTTGCTGAAAATGCTTCGTTGAAGGATTATCGAGGAATTATGCGTTTTTTTAATGGAACACCCTGTATATGTATAAGCAATACCAAAATGAGAGATTTATGCCTAAAGAAAGAATCATCTCGTTAGCGAATATTCCGCACGTACGTATATCAACGTGAGATCGCGTGATCCGGAAGAGTTAAAGCTCAGTCCGCCACGTGATATTTGTTCTCCGAAAATTTACCACCCTATATATCACAGTTTCTTATACTATATATCTTAGCTGGATATATCAACATTGTCACGCGTCTGTCGCGAAAGATTTAGGATTCAATTTATTTGAAAGGCCTGCACTTGAAATATATATTGTAAGAATTCATGTTCTCAGCTCTTATGAGTATTCGCTGATATTATGTGTCTCTAAATAAGAAAGAAAAAAATATGTTCTCCTTGGCAAACACGTTAGGCGTCGTAAAGTTTCCCTAAGAAAAAATAGTAAATAAAAAATGCTCTATATGAATCTTTTTTCAATATTATAATCTAAATATTTTTCTATTTATAGTTTAAACTATATAAATTTTAATAATTATATTTTTATTGTTATCATTATTATGTAAAGTATAAAGTAATTAAATTTTCCATAGTTTTCTCTCGCATATCTATCTTTTCTTCTGCAGATGATTTACTTGTTCAAGTTTTAAATATATGCATAATATATTGAAAAACTACTACGTAACTAATTAAGAAAGTACAATTTATTTTTATATGAATAGCTTGTCGCCGATCGCGTCTGAAGACTTTAAACTTAGTGAAATGCCTCAATATAAAAGAAATAAATGAAGAGCAATCTTTTGTTGAGAAAGTACAAAGCTTAATACTCTATTCATTCATCTTGCTACTTTCGCAAGACTTCTCTAAGGATACAAACTTTTGAAATTTCAGACTCACATACTCTGAAAGTAGCTTACAAGGTATTTATTCGTTATGTAATTTTTTTACG